CATACATACATACATACATACATACGCACACACACATACATACATACATGCATGCATGCATGCATGCATACATTCACATACATACAACATACATACATACATACATACATACATACACACATACATACATACATACATACATACATACATACATGCATGCATGCATGCATGCATGCATGCATGCATGCATGCATTCATGCATACACACACATACAGACATAACATACATACATACATACATACATATGAATACATATATGCATACACAGTACACATAAGCATACATGATAATATATAAACATACATACATGCATACATGCATACATACATACATACATACATACATACATGCATACATACATACATACATACATGAATACATACATACATACATACACATACACATACATACAACATACATACATACATATATACATACATACATACATACATACATAGATACATATATACATACATACATACATAGATACATATATACATACAGACATACATGCATGCATGCATGCATACATACATACATACATACATAGATACATATATACATACATACATACATACATACATACATAGATACATATATACATACATACATACATACATACATACATACATACATGCATGCATGCATGCATGCATACATACATACATACATACATACATACATATATACATATATACATACATACATACATACATACATAGATACATATATGCATACATACATACATACATACATGCATACATACATACATACATACATACATGTATACATGCATACGTACGTACGTACGTACATACACACATACATACATACATACATACATACATACATACATACATACATGCATGCATGCATGCATACATACATACATACACACACATACATACACACATACATACATACAGACATATCTACACACATACATACATACAGACATACATACATATAAACATACATACATACATACATACATACAGACAGACAGACAGACAGACAGGCAAACATGCATGCATGCATATATGCATACATCCATACATGCACACATGCACATGTACATGCACATGTACAGCTACATGTACGTTTATATTTACATATACATTTACAGTTACAATTAAATTTACAAAGAGTTACATGTACATTCATAGTCACGGTTACATTCACATTTACATGTACCATTACATTACACTTAACATTTACATCTACGTGTTTATATGTACACTTAGATACCTATACACAAATATATACATACATATACTGTGTATGTATGTAGCTGCGAAACTGTATAATTATGTGTAGAACGATAGATTGGTATAGTTTGAGGCAGGAGTATCTAGTAAACTCTTGTAGATGTTGTGTAGATGCATATACAAGGCTGCATTGGTGCTTCGCGCCATGCACCTTGTTCCTTGTGAGTTCGAATGCCGGCGACGTGCGCGCGCGTGGACGTCGGGCCGGCCACCGCAAAGTCGGAGTGGGTCAGGAACTCCTACGCGGGAGCGACTTGATAACACCAGCTCTGGCCAGCTCAGGGCGTTTCTGTGCCCAGAGGCGCGAGAAAGTCTCAGGCGACTGGTTGGGGTAGCATGAAGCAGGGCATCCTCCTCCTCTTGCTCCTCCTCCGCATTATCCTCCCCCTCTTTCTCCTCTTCATCTTCATCCTCTTTCTGCTCTTCCCTCCTTTTCCTGATTCCGCTTCCTTCTCCTCTCCCTATTATTTTCCTCTACTTCTTGAGGCGTCGAGACAGCTCCAAGACGTCCCAACTGAGTCCCCTGACGAGTCCCAAAGAGGTCCAAGGCTGGCGCAACAGGGCCCAGAGAGTGGGAAAAGCAGAGAAAACGCAATAGAAAACCAATGTTTTCGGCCTTCTCGCATTTTTCACTTCCGGTTGACTCGGGGGGCGCCCAGACGACCCCAAGACGGCCACAGGGAGGCGCAAGACAGGCCCGAGGATTCGAAAGACTTTTGGGGGAAGGTGGGGTGGGGGGCGGGGGGGGGCGCTCCCCGGCCCGAGAGGGCCCGGAGAGGGGGGCTCAGAGATGGACAAATGTAGGAAAATCATTGGAAAAGCAAGGTTTTTGGTCTTCTCGCCTTGTCGCTTCCGATTGGCTCTTGAGGCGCCCAGATGCCTCCAAGACGGCTCCAGATGAGGCCCCAGACGAGCCCCAAAGAGGCCTAAGGCTGGCGCAACAGGGCCCGGAGAGTAGGAAAAGCAGAGAAAACGTAGTGAAAAAGAAATGTTTTCGGCCTTCTCGCTTGTACACTATCGCTTGACTCGGGGGGCGTCCAGACGACCCCAGGATGGCCACAGCAAGGCGCCAGACAGGCCCGAGGAGGCAAAATTCGCTTGGGGGGGGGGGCGCTGGGGGTGTGGGGCTCCCCGGCCCTATACAAATATATACACAGGAATATGAAAACTAGGCGGCGGGCATCGCGCCAGCGCGTTAGACTGGGCTGGCCACGAGAGGCCACGCGCCCGCCGAGGCGCGGGCCACCGAAGCCTCGGGCCTGCGCTTGGGTCGGGCAGGGCCTCCCACAGGCGGAAAAAATGCAGAAAAAAACCCAACATATGGTCGGAAAAATCGTCCCCAGGCTATGTTGTTGCAATTTTTGAATGTTCCTCCTGTAGAGGGACATGCCTGACTTACGCCTGCGGCGTGGAGGAAAGGGCGGCCGGTCAGCGGCGACGCAGCAGCGGCGTCGGCGAGGCATCGGCGAAGCATCGGCGCGGAGAAGCTCGGGAGCCCCACGTCGAGATGCCGGGCCGAAGCCTCGGTGAGGTGGTGCGGTCCTCCGATCCCAGCTGCTCGGGCTCCCTCTCAGAGCCAAACGGCGAGAGGTCAACTGAGGCCTCCTCCTCCTCCTCCGCATCCTCCTCCTCCGCCTCCTCCTCCTCCGCCTCCTCCTCCGCCTCCTCCTCCTCCTCCACTGCGGGACGCGCCCGCCTTCTCCAGGCCCCGAGCTGGCTCGGCTCGCGGAAGCCGAGATCGGGTCGGGCCGGAGGCGCATCGGATCGCGCCCGAATCGGATCGGCCGAGAGCGCGGATCGGGCGCGGCCCATGAAGGCCCGAGAGGGCATCGCCTCATGCCGGATCGGATCGGATCGGAGTCGGCATCGAGGCTCGGAGATCGGATCGGACCGAATCAGACCTCCTCCTCCTCCTCCTCCTCCTCCTCCTCCTCCTCCTCCTCCTCCTCCTCCTCCTCCTCCTCCTCCTCCTCCTCTCATTATTATTAGCCTGCGTCTTATAATCATTGTTATTCATAATAATATGTTTAATAATATTCCTCGGATTGATATTATTACTCGCATTCGTACTATTGTTTTAAATTCATAGTATTATTCTTCGTCTTCCTAACATTAGTATTATTATTATAAGTATTATTAATAATAATATTAATATGATTACCCTTCTCCTTATTATCCTTTTGCTTCCTCCTCATCCTCCTCCATTCCTTCTCCTCATGAACAAATTCTCCCTGTCGCACCCCGAGGCCAAGTTTTAGGTTGGGCCGGGCGTGTCGCCTAAGACTTCCTCACCATTTATGACCCTGAAGCTTAAACATTTGTAACTGTTTCACATATAGAGGGCGGTTGTTTTAAGCGTGTTTCTCGCCTTAGCGTCGCGCACATTCGTTTTAAAAATTTGCCAGGGCTTCACGGATGGAGGGCGGGTCGTTTTCAAAATGTGGCTCTCGCATTAGCGCCGTTCACATACGCTTTATACATTTGCAAGAGCTTTACAGATTGAAGGCGGGTCGTTGTTTTAATGTGACTTTCGTTTTGGCGCCGCGCGCATTCGTTGTTGAGGGCGGGTCGTTCGCAAAATGTGGGTCTCGCCTTCGCGCCACGTTCATTGGTTGACATTGGTTGTAAACACGTGCAGAAGCTTCACGGATTGAGGGCGGGTCGTTTTCAAAATGTGGCTCTCGCCTTCGCGCCGCGCACATCCGTTCAAACATGTGCAAGAGCTTCACGGATTGAGGGCGGCTCCTTTTCATGATGTGGCTGTCGCCTTAGCGCCGCGTACATTTGCATTTGAAAATTGCAAGAGTTTCACGGGTTCCCATGGTCAACGTACCAGACCTGGTGTTTCGGAGGGATTCCGGATTATGGGGGTGCAACAGTAACGTTGATTCGCGGTGTTGAAATCAAGACGCAACAATCAGGTTGATCCGTGAAGTTGGAGTCCGGAGGACGATGTTTGGCATGCGCCAAGATCTTCAAGCGGTTGTATTCCAAGGAGGCAATTCCCTCAGTGGAAATGAACCCGTATAGGGGCCTACGAAGAGGGAAATTGGAGGGAGGGTTGATGACAACATCGTTTATGACTCTTAGATGTATACTGGTCCTCGTCCTCCTCCTCCTCCTTTTCCTCCTCCTCCTCCTCCTCCTCCTCCTCCTCCTCCTCCTCCTCCTTATCATCCCCCTACCTCTCCTCCTCCTCCTCCTCCTCCTCCTCCTCCTCCTCCTCCTCCTCCTCCTCAGAACCGTCTTGGCTCCTGCCCCGTGCCGCTGGGCCGCGCCTTCGGCGCGCTCGCCGCGTGGCCGATGCCGGGTTCGCTCTCGCCGAAGGCCGCCGGCCTGCGCCGCGCCGAGGAGGCGGCCCGCGGGGCCCTCCTCGCGGCGCATGCGGCCGCGGGGCTGGCAGCAGGGCACTCCCGCGATGGGGTGCGCCTGTTGCGCGCCGCGGAGGGCCTTCTGCGCGCGGCGGTGGCGGGCTTGCGGAGCCCTGCCGCCGAGCCGCCTGCGCCCGTGCCTGGCGCTGCAGCTGCCCCCGCGCGGCGGCGGCGGCGGCGAGGGCGCGGAGGCCGTGGCGGTGGTGCTGCGGGCCCCGGTGATGGGGCTGATGAAGTTCGTGCTGGCGGCGGCGAGGCGGTTAGGGACCACGTGATGGAGGACGCCACGGGGGGCGGTCGCAGGCAGCGGCGGCGGCGCCGTCCGCAGCCTGCCCCTGTGGGCCTCCCTCTCGCTGATGTCGCTGCTGGGCCTGCTGCAGGTCAGGACGCGTTCGAGGATGAGCTGAACGATGAGTGGGCGGATGGCCTCACGGTGCTGCCTGGCCGCCGCGGCCCTGGACGCCCGCCCGCCCTCGCCCCCGACGTGCGGGCGCGACTCTGCCGAGGCCCCTTGGCGGGTTTCGAGGTGACCGTCATCGCCGTCGGGGAGCGCTCTGCCTCCGTCCGCTTCGATACGGACGACCCCGCCGCCGAGCCCATGGACGTTCGCCTGGACTTCCTGGTGGCGCTGCCGCTGGCGGGGGCGGGAGGTGGTGGCAGTGGGGGACGGTAGGGGGTCTCGCCGCATTGCGTTGCAGGACCGCCGTCCCTCCCCACCTCCCCCCACACGGTGTTCGCCTGCTGCGATCGCCACTCCTTCCTCGTCTGAGGGTGCTGGGGGGTGTCAGTGACCCTGACACTTCTTTCATCGCTGCCTGCCTCCTCCTCCTCCTCCTCCTCCTCCTCATCATCATCATCATCATCATCATCATCATCCTTCTCCGTGAACAATTCTGATAGGGCGGGGTTCCGCCGCCCACCCCCCTGCGCGCCTTCTGCCAGAGGGCGTTCAGGCCGACGTCGTACGCCGCAGCGCCACCGCACGTCTCAGACCTCAGCAGCGGCCCGGGATCTGGATGCTAAAGATCAAGGAGGGGGAGGGGGGGGAGGAGGAGGAAGAGGAGGAGGAGGAGGAGGAGGAGGAGGAGGAGGAGGGGGAGGAGGGGGAGGAGAGGAGGAGGAGGAGGAGGAGGAGGAGAGGAGGAGGAAGGAGGAGGAGGAGGAGGAGGAGGAGGAGGAGAGAGAGGAGGGAGGAGGAGGAGGAGGAGGAGGAGGAGGAGGAGGAGGAGGAGGAGGAGGAGGAGGAGGAGGGAGGAGGGGGAGGAGGAGGAAACGGAGGAGGAGGAGGGGGAGGAGGAGGAGGAGGAGGAGGAGGAGGAGGAAGGAGGAGGAGGGGGGGAGAAGGCAAGGAGAAGGAGGAGGAGGAGGGGAGGAGGAGGAGGTGGAGAGGAGGAGGGGAGGAGGAGGAGAGGAGGAGGAGGGGAGGAGGAGGAGGAGGAGGAGGAGGAGGAGGAGGAGGAGGAGGAGGGGAGGAGGAGGAGGAGGAGGAGGAGGAGGAGGAGGAGGGGGGGAGGAGGAGGAGGAGGCGGAGGAGGAGGAGGAGGAGGAGGAGGAGGAGGAGGAGGAGGAGGAGGAGGAGGAGGAGGAGGAGGAGGATTTTTTGACATCCACTACTGCCAAGCCACACTCTCTGGGGGGACGGCGCCTCCCCCCAGAGGAGGGGGCAGGGCTGGGTGGCGCCTCCTGCCACTTTCGCCACCAGCCCTGCCCCACCGCTGACGTCACGGCAACTGCGGGGGGACTCACGCCGAGACGGCTGCCAGTCCCGCAGTGCCGTGGAAACAGCGGGAAAAAACTAACGCCACGGCGCGGGCTCCACACGAAGCTCGGATTTCGACGGATGCCGACCCTTACAAATAGCATTGAAAGTCTCGGTCTTCTTACGCGTCGGTGGCTGACATCGCTGAGCTAAGCCCCGAATATAACCCAGCGAGCCGTAGGAATGACACCTAAGACAGACAGTCAGGAAGGAGCCATCAGAAACGAGCAGCGATATGGCATGGTGCCCGAGCGCTCTCAGGGATGGGCCGTCCAGCTTCGATTCATTCGAGCAAGAACCTGGCGGCGGTATCGAGCGTCCTTTGCGCACGATCAAACAGTGCTGGCAACGCCAGAAAGCAAATCCGAAATACCCCTCGCGCTTCTCCCACGTCCAAGCATGGGGCCGCGAGGGGGGAGCAGGTTCGACGGGAGGGCGCTCCCAGTAGCAGTCGGTCAAATCCAACGGCGGCCACGCTGGCAGCAGCTTCGCTGCGAGCTTGCAGACCGCCTTGGCTATCTTAATTTGCCATTGCAGCCGGCTCTCCTCGGCCTCCGACGGACGGGGGTGGAGTCCAGCACCCTGCTTGGCGGCGCGATCCGCCAGGTCGTTCCCGAGGCGCCTCCAGCGCTCCAGGGAGGATATGCCCGCTTCGTGCGGGTCTTTGTGGGCATCGACTTTGACGACCGACTGGACCGACGACACCCCAAGACGATACATCATCATCAGCCCCGCGAACGGGCGGCGATAGCTCAGCTGCGAACTCTTGTCCCCAGCACAAGCAGAGACCACGTTCAAGCAGTCGCTATAAAAAGTTGACAGGCGAGGCTGCTCCTGCCCAGGATGTCGGTCCTCGCCGATCTCGGCGACGGGCCCTTGGCTCGCGTCACTCATGACCTCCACTCCGCCGCGGGCCAGGGCAGCGAATTCGGCACACTGGGAGGTCTGGAGGAAAGGGGCGTGGATAGGCCCATAGATGTGGCACACCCTGTCACCCGAAGAGTCGACCTTAACGAGCCCATATCCAGCACGCGAGAGCTCGGCAATCTCATGACGGAAGCAGCTACCGTCAAGGAAGATATCGCCATCAAAGGTGCCACCGTCCTGGGGAGGCTCAACCCATTCACATCTGGCCTGAAATTCACAATCCAAAAACTCCCGAGACGGCCGAGGGAAGACGTCTCCAGGATGCGGAAAGACACCCCTGGTGAAAAGCAGAGCAACTTCGGGGTCGGCCAGGTCCGCGTCAGCGGCTTCATCAATCAAACTCTGTGAAACGGTCTCCTCTCTCGTGGAGGCGACGGCAGGGCAGCGCCAGAGTCGATGGAAGGTCGAATCGCCAGTGAAACCGCAGAGCTCGCATCGATCCTCGAGACCGCGGTACCCGACCTTGATCGCCCGATCGCGAGTCCAGAGCGCTTCGCAAGTCAAGCTCCTGATCGATCCACGTTCCTGGGAGGTGACCCGCGACGATCGGAGGCGAGATCGGACGATGTCGAAACACAATCGATCGCAAGACAGGCCCTGCTTAGCCGAAGCCTCACGCTCCAGGGCACGCCGACAGGCCTGCTGCAACATTTTCTTCAGCATAGCTGGGGACACGCTCGTCAGCAATATCGTCTCCCCGAAATCGTTCACGATCGTGACGAAATCTGACATAGACCACTTGATGCGAATAAGGGAAAGACGCATGGCGCTAATGGGTCCCCCGACGTCGCGCCACCTAGGTTCCGCCGCCGCGAACACGGTCTCCCAGCTGAGTCTCAACTGGTCCCAAGGGATCGTGTAGGGATAGGCACCCGTCTGGAGCGCCCATATTTCTTTGGCGTACCTAACCACGGGGGCCACAGCCCCCACCCAAGTCGGGTCATCGTTCAGAAGGAGGGTGGCGGTCAGCGAACGCCCCCCCGCACCAGGTCTCAGAACGCGCCCCGCTTCACGACGGATCTTCGCCAACTCGAAGTCCGAAAGCCCATGGATCTCCGCCCCGTAGAGAACCCCAGGCAAAGTCCCAGAGACCCAAATACGCTTACAATACTTACCGAGGCTGCAACTCAGCTTGACAAGCTTCTTTGTAGAAGCTTTCAGGGTGTCCACGCGGACCCTAAACTTGTGGCCTCTCCTGGCGGCTCGTCTGGGTCTCCCTGCAGCATCGTCGATCCCCAGGTTCACGGCACTGTCCGTGATCGGCCCAGCGAGGGGCCCCAGGAACTGACGAAGCTGCGAAGAGACCTCAGCAGATGAGCAGACAAAAGAGGCCTTATCAGGCGCCACCTTGCATTTCATGTCCAAGGTGAGAGCGTCGTGCAGGCCCTGCGAGGCTTCCTTTAAATCATGCACGACCTGGGCCTTGGAGCCCACCGCAGACAGCCCGCTATCATCGATGCACTGGTCCAGCTGGACGCTAGGCCCGAGCTTCAAGGAGTCAAGAGGGGTGATCATGTAGACCTTGACCCATGTCGTGGCTAACGAACAACCCGCGATAACCCCTCGAGCCGCCATCAGCGGGCCCGAGACGTACCCAGCCATGCAAATAAACCGGGCCCCTCGGTAGGCCGCGATCGAGAGACGATATGAGGCCACAGGGACCCCGTGTTGCACGCAACGCTGTTCCAAAAGCCCGAGGTCGATGGTTTCGTAAAACTTGGACAAGTCCCAAAGAATCGTGGCCGCCACCAAACCACGACGATAGGAGCATTCAGCCCTGACTCCTTGACGCCACACGACGTCACTGGCCGAAGCAAAAGACTGGCCAGCGAAATAAGCTCGAGGATGCTCCAATTCCCACTGCTGTGCTATCACCCTTCTCGCTTTCCCCCACAATCTGTACATGCTGCAGAACAGGCCAATCGGCCTCCAGCCGCCGTGCGGCTTCATGATGAGCGCCAGCTGAACCAGCTGGATCTGGAAGGGGAGTGAGGAGGTCATTTCCATGATGGCCAGCATTAGGCCCACGACGTACAAGCAATCGTCGGTCATCCAGGAGTAGTGTTTCATGTGGAAACCGTCGAGCCCAAAAGCAGTCCTGGGGGAGTACCTGGAGGAGATCATCCTGAGAAATTCGGGTTGCAAGAAAGGGAGGGGGCTACAAATACCTTTCGAACCTTCATCGAGCGCGGGGGGCCCCGTCGACTTGGCACCCCATAATTCAGCATAGAGCGAAGACTGAGACTCCAGCAGAGAAAGAGGGTCAGAGAGCACAACCCCAGCCGAGCTGAGGGTCGCGGTAGGCTTCCAGCCCGCAGCAGGCTTGCGAGCGAGGTGGGCGTTCCTTCCTCCCTTTTCAATGTTGGTCAACAGCCATTCCTTCCAACTTTTCCCTCCCTGAGTCCTAGCATCCGACTGCTCGTGGACTATGGCGGCATCCAGCTCGCCAAGGATGTGCGACAGGTGCTCCTGATGAGCTTCATCCTCCACGCAGAGCCGACCACCTGGAGCCGCGACGATCGACACGAACGAGTAAATGGACTTGACGAGCGCCTGATACCTATCCAGATCGCTCGCGAACTCAGAGGGAATCTCCAGCAGCATCTGGCTCTTCTGGCCACACGCCTGCGAACTGCGAGGGAGTGCGTGCCAGTGCCTAAAGGTGTGGGACAACCACTTGATGGCGAACAGACGCGGGTGGCGGCCCTTGGAAGAGCCGCTCTTGAAGACAGGCTGCCAGACTAACTTGGGGCCCTTACTCCTGGCCCCGTAGTACGGGAGGGCGACACGTGCAGCATCAGCGATTTCACGCTCCGCCAGACGAGCCCAGCGCCCGTAAACCCTACTCGACTCTTGGGTAGCCTGACCGACGGGTTCCCCTGGGACCAAAGAGTCGAGAAGGGCACTCGCATGCCCCTGGAGCCGCCCCCAGTGGGGGGGGGCCGTTTAGAGGGCCCGATAGGCCGCTGGGCAGGGATGGGAGGAGGTTTGTAAAATCCCAAAGCCTGCATCTTACAAGCACGAGGGCACAGAACGATTTCGACAGGTGAGTGAGGAGCGAGCTGCGAGGTGGTAACCACGTCGACCGACTGAATAACCTTCGAGACCCCACTCGTCGCAACGAAATAGTCGAGCATTTTGATGCCCCCCGTGGTGAGGCAGGTCCCCTCGCCCTGGGGGATGATCAGGTTCCCATGGAGGCGTTCAGTGAACCCGCTGTCCTGGACGAGGTCGGGCGACATGTTGAAATCAGCCGCGACCAAACATTCACTAGCATACACCTCTGCTGCCGACCCAACCTTCCCCA